AGAGATTAAAGGTAAGAGTGAGACAGAATGTTATGAAGTTTGGAACAAAATGTACAAGTGGTTGGAATCGAGGAAAAGAGGTCGGAACAAAAATTCCGATCCTGTATAGGATTAAAGGTGGAAGACCTTTAGACTAAAGATAACAAAGTATAGTGGATAAAATTGTTATAGAAAGAGAATGTGAAAGGAAGTTATGCTGTGAATATGAATATAAATGGAAATGAATATGTCAATATGTTAATTGCACCAACTTAGTAATGTAAAATAAATAGGAGATCAACTGTTGTATGTGATTTTATGTTGTAGTACGTATGGCAAAATAATTGCCAGGAAAGTCATACTGTGTTCCATTTTTTTAATGTTTATTCAATACAATTTTGTAAAAAAGAAAGAAAGAAACGTAACAGGGGGCCGAACTCACTTAACAAATGTCTCACTTAACAACATAAATTTTAGTCTCCATGGTGGTTGTATGTTAAGGCCTGCCTCTCCTTCTGAAAAAGACTTGCCAAGCAAACTGCAAGAATTTGTGCAACACAGTCTCTGAGAATCAGATGGGACTGAACAGAAGGAAAAAAAAAACATTGAACTAACTCACTGAAGTGAGTAATTGCTCATGTAAGTTCTTACAGATCTACGGGCATTATTCCAATTTCTGGCTCTGTCCTAGAAATTATGTTGGAACACTGGCAGGCCAGAAAGACTGAACCTGAATGTCTTGGAGATTCTCAGTCATCCAGGTCATAGTTGTCCCCAAAGGTGCTTTTTTTTCAAGAGGCAATTGGACTTTCTGGTTTTTCTTTGAAAACATTTTACTTCTCATCCAAGAAGCTTCTTCAGCTCTGACTGGATGGTGGGGAATGGAAGGATTTATACTCCTTGCAGACAGCTGGTCGTTTGCATCCTTTTTGAGGGTCCTTGAAGCACTTGAAGGTTTATCTATGTCCTCAGGGTCATCTGAGTGGTGCAAATACTATTCAAAGGACTGTGTTGTAGATTGGAGGTAGATGATGTCGTATCCCTCCCCCTCTGTTGAGAGAGGGCTGTTCAATTTTGACATAGATGACTCAACGACTCTTTAAAAGAATGCAAACGACCAGCTGTCTGCATGGAATATCAATCCTTCCATTCCCCTCCGTTGAGTCAGAAGCTGAAGAAGCTTCTCGGATGAGAAGCGAAACGTCTTCAGAGAAGAACCAGAAAGTCCAGTCGGCTTTTGAAAAAGCACCTTTGGGACTGAACCTGAATACCAACGAGGAGCAGCACTAAGGGTGAACATGATGTGGTCATCATCAGGTCAGCCATGGGCCAGAATACAAACAAAGTGCAGATTGTGCTCAACTTGCAACCATTTGCTTAGTTGACTGTTCATAATTACACTGAGAAAAGTGACTTACCACTACTTCTTGCCCTAACAACTGTCGTAGCATCACCACAGTCATGTGATCAAAATTGAACAAACTGGCATGTATTTAGAAATATTAGAATAACAGTTGGAAGGGACCTTGGAGGTCTTCTAGTCCAATCCCCTGCTTAGGGCAGGAAACCGTATACCAGGGGCCGGCAACCTTAAACACTCAAAGAGACATTTGGTCCCGTTTCCCATAGAAAACACCAGGAGCCACAAAACCTTTCCTGTGTCTGACTAGTTCCTGAACAGCCCCTAGCATATGTAGTTGAATTAAGTGTTCTATTCTCTTCTGAAACTTTTCATTTCTTGGATGTATCCATGGTTGGCCTACCAGGGGTCAAAAAACTCAATAAATCACATGCTGGCGAAGGTCGCATATTGGCGGTTGTAATGCATATTTTGAATGACGGAACCGTAGCAGAGGGATGAAAGACCCCTATGTGGCTCCAGAGCCGTGGGTTGCTGACCTCTGCCCTATACCATTTCAGACAAATGGTTATCCAATCTCTTCTTAAAAACTTCCAGTGTTGGAGCATTTACAACTTCTGGAGGCAAGTCATTCCATTGATTAATTATTCTGACAGTCAGGAAATTTCTCCTTAATTCTGCATTGCTCCTCTCCTTGGTTAGTTTCCATCCGTTGTTTCTTGTTCTGCCTTCAGGTGCTTTGGAGAATAGCTTGACTCCCTCTTCTTTGTGGAAGCCCCTGAGATATATTGGAACACTGCTATCATGTCACTCCTAGTCTTTCTTTTCATCAAACTAGATAGACCTACTTCCAGCAACTGTTCTTTGCATGTTTTATTCTCTGGTCCTTTAATCATCTTCAACATCTTTTTTACATCGTGGCGACCAAAACTGGAGGCAGTATTCCAGGTCTGGCCTTACAATTTACAATGACTGCAGCATCCTGTGGTTCTATGACCTTCCCAGTTGGCTTTCAATAAGCCAAGTCAAAGGAGGATTCATTTAACAATCCACTACTTATCAACTGCAGCAATTTGCTTAAACAATGGTGGCAAGAAAGATCGTAACATTGGGCATGAGTCACTTAATTAGCCCTGGTGGCGCAGTGGTTAGAATGCAGTATTGCAGGCTAACTTTGCTCATTGCCAGGAATTCGATTCTGACCGGCTCAGAGTTGACTCAGCCTTCTATCCTTCTGAGGTGGGTAAAATGAGGACCCCAGATTGTTGGGGGCAAGAGTAAACCACTTAAAAGAGAGTGCGGTAAAAGTATTGGGAAGCAGTATATAAGTCTAAGTGCTATTGTCCGTCCTTCCTTCCTTCCTTCCCTATTTTCCTTCCTTTATTTCTTCCTCCCTCCCCTATTTTTCTTCCTTCCTTCCTTCCTTCCTTCCTTCCTTCCTTCCTTCCTGCCTGCCTGCCTGCCTGCCTGCCTGCCTGCCTGCCTGCTTTATTTCTCCTTCCTCCCTCACTTTCTCCCTCCTTCCCTCCTTCCTTCCCTCCATCCCCCCTCCCTCCCCTTCCCTCCCCTGGTGGCGCAGTGGTTAAAGTGCAGTATTGCAAGCAAACTCTGCCCATAGCCAGGAGTTCAATCCTGACCGGCTCAAGGTTGACTCAGCCTCCCATCCTTCCAATATCAGTAAAACGAGGACCCAGATTGTTGCGGGCAGTACGCTGACTCTTTAAACCGATTAGAGAGGGCTGCAAAGCATTATGAAGCGGTATACAAGTCTAAGCACTAGTGCACTTGTTATTAACAACTGCCTTGCTTAACCACCAGAATTCTGGTCTCAAACTGTGGCCACAAATTAAGGACTATCTTCAAGCAGTTTTATTCGCTTGGGTCTCTGGACATGATGCACCACAAATTCAAAGCCCAGCATTTTCCTGGAGGCTCTGCTCCAATTGGCATCCAACCATTTCCGCATTCATATCGCATCCATACCCATCCCTTTCTCATAAATCCTCCTTGTAATATGACTGTTTAGGGATGCTTAATATCTCACTGTGCCCAGGATGGGGCAAGAATAAAGAGGGGAGAAAGCAAAACATTCAGACATGCTCCTGAAGAGCCCTTCTTGATTCAGGTTTCCCAGTTTGCAAGGCGTTTCTTTCCATCTTGCTTTCCCCTCTCAAGGTCAATCTCAAAGTCCTCCTCCCGGGCCCTCAACTTCTTTCAGAGCATCTTGAGCAGGGAGGGTCACTAAACGAATCGGAGAGGCAGCAGTGAGGCTGAGACACGGCCCCGGTCATCTTTCTCTCGCCATTACAGCCAGTCCTCGATGTAGAACCGCAATTTGAGACCCCAAATGTCTGTCGACGAGCTAGACAAAATTTTGCCCCCTTTTACGACCTCTCTTGCCACTGTTGTTCATTGACTCCCAGCAGTCGTTAAAAGTTAGCGACACGGCCGTGAAGTGAATCTGGCCTCCCTGTTGACTTCGCTGGTCCGAAGGTCACAAAAAAATGGAGAATCCCACGACATGCCGGGACACTGCCGCCCGTCATAACTATGAGTCGGTTGCCAAGTGCCGGAATTTTCCATCAGGTGATCTCGGGGAAACGCCACCATGGTGGTAAGTGGGAAAAAAATGGTCCTAAATCCCTGCGGGGGTGGGGGTGGGTGGCTGAGGTCACTTCCCCAAAGTCACTAAACGAACCGTTGTAAGTCGAGGACCACCTCTGAAACACCTCAAACGTTGGACAGGGACGTGGAGTGTGTGTGGGGGGGGCAAGTATCCTTGAAAGTCTCCGGCCTGCGCGCGTGTCCAGCCGGTTTCCCTCAGAGCTTCGTCGAGGCAGCGCGGCGCTCCCGCGTCCTTGAAATGGAGGCGCGGCGACCTTGCTCGCTTTCTCCGAGGCTGGACGGGGCGGGGGAAGGCGAGGAAGGGAGAGAAGAAGCCGGCGCAAGGCCGGAGGAAGAGGAGGAGGAGGAGGAGGAGGCATCTCCGAGACCCGCCGTGACAGGAGACGGAGGAGCCATTCCCGCCCGCCTCTCCGCTTCCCTCCCGCCAAACGAGACCCTCCCCCGGCCTTCTTCCCTCACGCCTTCCCGCCCGCCTGCCTGCCTGCCTGCCTTTGGACGCAGCTCGGAGCATCGCCGCGGCGAACTGCGGCTTTCCGCGCCCCCCTCCCCGGCCGCCCTTCCTTCCTTGTCAGCCAGCCGCTCCGGCCACTGAGGGTGCGGAGCCGGCGGCTACTTCGGGCTCTCTGGCCGCTCTTCGCGCCCGCTTTTGGCTTCTCCAGGGGAAGAAAAGCAGCAGCGCCGCCGCCGCCGTCGCCTTCCTCGGGGGCGCGCCGGTGACAGCGGGAGAGAGAGAGAGAGAGGACGGTTCCGCTGGGCTCTCCTGAGGCGGCGGTCCCGCTGCGCTTCTTCCCCCGCGGCCGGAAACTTTGAGGGGGTCGCGGGGAACGCGCCATCCCGGCTCCTCCCGTCCGTTCCCGGCGCGATGCGGGGGCGCCGCGTCCTTGGCTTTTGCGCTCGGCTGGGGCGCCCGAGCGGTTCCTCCGGCCGCTTGGCCGTCCCGGTGCCCGAATAATGGCTTGGGCTCTTGGCCGGGGTTGACCGGACGGATACCTCTGCCCTCGTTCGTCCCTCCGCCGCCGCCGCCGCCGCCGCCAGCATGGGCTACACGGACCCGACTTTCAACCGGGATCTGCTGGGGAACCGAAGTTTGCTTTTCATTTTCATCTGCGCTTTCGCCGTGGTCACTTTGCTGCAGCAGATCCTGTACGGGAGAAACTACCTGAAGAGGTAAACGAGGGGAAAAAGAAAAAAGAAAAAAAAAAAAAAGGAAGAAGCTTGGCTGCCTTCGCACGACCCCTTTAAACCTGGGTACCGGATTAACCCATCATTGCCTGGCTTTGCTCCAGGATTTGAATCTTTCGGAGAAGGGGAGGAAGGGTTGCGTGCGGCATGAGAATCAAAACCTCCTTCCCTAGGTTAGACAGGAATGCTGTGATGCGTTTCTCTTTGGGCTTGGTTAGCGGTCACCTTGGTTTGTTCTTCTGTGGTGCAGCTTATGGTGTGAACTGAGTATCTTTTCTTTTATGTACACTGAGAGCATTTGCACCAAGATAAATTCCTTGTGTGCCCAATCATACTTGACCAATAACGAATTCTATTACTATTCTTATTCATTCTTATTCTTATTATTCTTATTCTATTCTTACTATTCTATTCTTATTCTATTCTATTCCTATTCTTATTCCTATTCTTATTCTTATTCTATTCTATGTACATTGAGAGCATTTGCACCAAGATAAATTCCTTGTGTGTCCAATCACACTTGGCCGATAAAGAATTCTATTCTATTCTATTCTATTCTATTCTATTCTATTCTATTCTATTCTATTCTATTCTATTCTATTCTATTCTTATTTTATTTTTATTCTATTCCATTCCATTCCATTCCATATTTTCTATTCTATTCTTGTTCCTGTTCGTATTCCTGTTCTGTTCTATTCTATTCTATTCTATTCTATTCTATTCTATTCTATTCTATTCTATTCCATATTTTCTATTCTATTCTATTCTATTCTATTCTATTCTATTCTATTCTATTCCATTCCATTCCATTCCATTCCATTCCATTCCATATTTTCTATTCTATTCTATTCTATTCTATTCTATTCTATTCTATTCTATTCTATTCTATTCTATTCCTATTCCTATTCCTATTCCTATTCCTATTTCTATTCTATTTGGTTCCTCTCTCAGTGTAAAGCCAGGTTGGGCACAGTGTCCTGGAGAAAACCCATCTGTGATCATTAACCGGCCATTGATAGCCCCCCATTCAAACTGTATGGGCATATTGCATGAGCCAGGAAATGGATTAATTCAGTAACCAAGTTAGACATACCCTTGTGTATAGTACTGTATATTTGTTGTGGAAGTCCCCGAGCTTTATTTAAATTTGTTTTGATTCGTCCCGAAGTCTCGTGGACAAATGCACCCAGGCACAAACCACGGAAGGCTTTTTGTGGTGCCTTGCCAAGACAACAGTGTGAGACCTCGTGCGAAATAGTCCGTGGAAGCTTTGGCTTGCCGAGATGACACAAGACTCTTGCCGACTTGGTTAGGGGCTAAGAGAGTTACTGCCCAGGAAAGTTGTTAACTCCAAGCACTCAACAAAAAAACCCTTTTGTGCTTGGTTCAGTTGCAGTTCAGTTGTGTTCACCTGTGGTCGTGTTGTAGCTGTTGCTCTCTTTCCACTTAGAATTACGGAAGGAATCAAGGGGCTATTTAAAAAGCAAAAGCAAAAGCAAAAAAACCTCCAGAGTAACAATGTGACCTTGCTGTGTGTAAATAGATCCTATTGACGCATCAGAGGAAGGATTAGGTTGGACCTACATTTCTGCCAACTACACAGAAAAAGGCCATCGGCATTCCTGATTGGGCACAAGATGAGCCTAACTCTTGATTTATGGACCTGGCAGAGAAGATAAAACATGTTCAGGATTTCATTGTTAAGACCTACTTTGCAAAATGTGGGTCCCTTTGGGCTTCTTGACTGGGGGAGACACGGAAGTCTTCTTCCTGATTAGCAGAGGAGTAACTTGGAAGCATTTGGGGTGCTAAAAATAAAATCTTCCCTTAACTTGAGCTTAGCTCTTGGTGGCTGTAGAGACTAGTGATCTATTGAATATTGACCCTTGTTTAGTTGCTTTTCTTTCTTTCTTTCTTTCTTTCTTTCTTTCTTTCTTTCTTTCTTT